GTAGCTGATGTTTGTGAATAATTTTTTAATGTGAGACTTGATGTTTCTTGTTGTTTCCTTATCTTTTGGGCAAATTACATGGACCTTTCCTGAGGGATCTGATAATTACAAGGACATCCCCTATAGATACCTTAGGGGATCCACGTAAAAAAAACAAAGGAAAAAAAAAAGAAAGTAGGCAGAGAACTTAATTGCAAGAACTGAGCTAGTGCATAGATTACATCTTTTCAATTGCCCCCTTGCAATAAAAGTAGCTGATGTTTGTGAATAATTTTTTAATGTGAGACTTAATGTTTCTTGTTGTTTCCTTATCTTTTGGGCAAATTACATGGACCTCCCCCGTAGACACCTCAGGAGATCAATGTTAAAAAAAAAAAAAAAAATGGAAAGTAGGCAGAGAACTTGTTTTAAGAACATGATATCATAAAAATAGAGTATATTTATTCTAAAATTAACATGGTGTGGATCTTAAAATGAATTTCCTAATGATGTATTTGAATAGCAGTTATTTCAAGTGAGGTTACAATTTATCTAATTGAATGCTCCATCCAACAGTGGCTAAAGGATACATGGCCATGCCAGAATATTTTCAAAAGTTAGTGGGTTCAGGCAGTTTTTCATTTATCAAATTTATTTCCGTTTGAACAGTTTACTTTTATAGTAATTTTCCTTGTTGCCTTATTGATGAAGGTATATGTTTATCTTTTGGGAAAATTACACGGACCTTCCCTAACAATTGCCCAAACTACAACTGCCTCGGAAGTACGGACACAGGCCATGGGACACAATAATTTCAAAAAATTCAAGACATGGATATTGTGGGGGGATATGTAAAAAAAAAATATTTTATTTGCTATGTATGTAAATATTACATTCATAAACAACTAAAATTAATAAAAACCAACACTAATTTAATATTAAAAAAAAAACTAAATTTTAATTAACCAGAGACTAAGGCTTTGTTTGGCATGTGTTAAACAATTATCTTATTTGAGTCACATCACCTCTTATTTGGATCACATCACCTCTCTACTACATCACTTCAACCCCAATCCACATTTCATATTTTTTCATAAAAATTCAAAAAGTATACTAATGTAGCACTGTCCAAACAATCCCTAAATCTGTGTTCCATTAGGCTCCAAGGATTGATAGAAGGTTGTTTCTCCACTTCACAAATGTGTTTTATATGTGTGTTACATTGCCGATGATTTCATATGATTTTTATATTTTTTTAAAAACCAATCATTTTGTTTCCAAATGTTATAACATGACCCTAGAAATTAGCTTTGAAAAATTAAAATAAGACTTGTCATGTCCCGAATCGTGTCCCATCATGTCTAACATGTCTCTCACCGTGTTTACATGCACCCCTGTTGTGTACCCTAAAAAAAATGGACACGACTACAACACTTATTTTGAAGTGTCACTGCTTCATAGATAGCTGATCCCATTAGCATAGGACAATGACACTGACTCCCCTAACATTTGAGTACGCATATCATTGAGTGCCTCACTGTTAGGTGTCAAGAAAGAGAGATGGATGGAATATTACGGTGTCGATAATTTTTGGATTAAATTTTCTATTTTTACCCTTCAAGAAATGGGTCAACTCTTTAACCTTTACTAGTTTACCTTTATTCACTCTTACTCTTTTCCCCTATCCATTCCCCCTCTCTATGTGTTCCCCCTTCCCGTCTTAGACTTTGCCACCACTCACCATGCCACGGCTGCCTCCCACCCCATCCCACTGCCCCCAACGATCCCTCCTCTCATGCCATTGCCTCAGCTCCCCAAAGGCCATACCTTTCCTTCCCTCAATTCCATTGTGCCGCCACCAACCTCTCACCTCAACCTGCTTGCCACCCAACCTTCTCGCCCAGACACAAACAAGAGATATATAGCTTGGCTCTAGGTTCATGTCAATGATGATCACCAGTGGCCTCCACGTCAAACCCCATTGCCTTCTATGGCCCTCCAATGCCGCCTCTAGTACAATCCTAGCTGCGACCCCAACTCCAGTGCCATCTATGAAGCATGGGTACTTTGAAAAATATGCCGAACCAGTACCAGGTAATTATCGGCGTATGGTACCTCATATGATACTTCTGCATACATACCGAGTACACGAAATACGTATGCACATTTTTTCTTCTTAATTTTTGGTGTACCTAGACGTATCTATTATATACCCAAGTCGTACCATACCTCAATTGAAACAATATTTTGTTCTACTACATAGATGAAACTCCTTTCACTAGGCTTCTTTTTTATTTTTAGTTTTATACTTAGCATGTTTTTGGTTTGTAAGTTATTTAATATATTGACATTTAATTTTGATTTATACCTTTACTTTTGGCATTAAATGTTAATTGTAGGTTAAATCTTAACAAATTAAACCATTTAATTAATTTTTGCATTACTCTAAATTAAAAATAAATATTTTTTTACAAGCGCACCATGCCGTACATGTACCCTACTTTTTTTGAATTTTAGCGTATCGACGTACTCGTATCGTACCAGTACCAGTACCAGTACTCGTACCAGTATCCGTACCCGTGCTTCATAGCTTAGATGTATCTAAAAAGTTAAAAAATTGTGAAAAAATATTTTAAAAAATTAATAAATACATAAAAATATAAAAAATATATTGAATTCTCATA